CAGATAAGGCACATGGTTTTCATGGTTTTTCCGAAGTTTTCATTTATTTTTGGAAATACACGATGTGCAAACTACAAATTGTAGATGTAAAAAGGTATATGCATGACTAATCATGACTATATGTATATGTAGATCAGTGCGTTTACACGTGTATTTAATATATATATATATGCAGGGTTTGGTTTAGGGTTTATTTAGGGTTTACATATATAAGCCAAAAGCCAAAAGCCAGGTGAAGCCAAAGCGAAGAGCCAAGTGAAGCCGAAGCCAAAAGGTCTTATTTTCCTGCGTTCATTTCCCGAAGCATGGAATACGTAGTTCAACTATCATTATGTATCTTTTTTTTACGTATATTAAGGGAAATAAGAGTCTTATTTCCCTTCTTTCCCGTAACATGGAGTAGTTCAAAACAATATAGCCAAGAGCCAAGTGAAGCTAAAACCAAACACCAAAAGCCAGGTGAAGCCAAAGCCAAAAGCCAAGTGAAGCCAAAAAGCCAAAAGCCAGATTATGTCTTTTCTTGACTTATCGAGGAGATAAGGGGCCACAGAAAGCCAAAAACCAGAAGCCAAGTGAAGCCAAAGCCCAAAGCCAACAGCCAAAGTGAAGCCAAAGCCAAAAGCCATGGCCCAAAAAGGCTAAACGCCAAAAAGCCAAAAGCCAATAACCAAAAGCCAATAACCAAAAGCCAAGAGCCAAAGTGAAGCCAAAAGCTAAAAGCCAAAAGAAAGCCCGAGCAAAGCCAAAAGCCAAAAGCCAAAAAGCCAAAAGCCAAAAGCCAAAAAGCCAAGTGGGCACTTGAAGCCAAAAGCCAAGTGGGCGCGCAAATGAGAGATCCTAGCTCCAAAATGCATGCAAAACATAGATTTTAGCTCCAAAGAGCACCAAATAGCAGGGAAAGCTGCTCCAGACTGAAAAACAAAAAAAAATCCTTAAAAAAAACAATAAAAATTCCTAAAAAAATATACCCTCCAAAAAAAAATCGGCGCTGAGCCATGGCGCGATCTTTGGAGAAATGTTTCGCATCGGATGCGATTTAGGACACTTTGACCTACTTACTTTACAATATGTTGACTGATACCATCTGGTTATGACTAACAGTTCGCCATGGAAAGATCCACCATGTTTAAGTTCGGTAAACCATCTATTTCTATAGGCCATCTATACCATAGCTATGACCAGAGGGTACCAACGGCCATGCCCAGGGCATTTCCACAAGGGCGAACCGAACGTCGCAGACAAAGGCCCGGGCCAGAGATGGGTTTGTCCAAAATAAACAAATCTATAGAGTCTATACAAATATGGTCAACTATGTTATCTAACTTGGAGGAAAAAAAATAGACATTGATATATATATATACATATATATATATATGTACATATATACATATATATATATATACATATATATGTATATACATATATATATATACATATATATATACATATATATATAGTCCTTTGGAATTCTGGGTAGCCCATTTTCAGACAGACCCTGATGCGGGTGGACAGGATGTACCAAAGCCTCCAGCTTCAGAGCCCGCAAAAAAAATGCCCATCTAAAACGGCCACCCATCAGCCAAGAGAGCAGATTCAGTGGTTCCGTCCCAGGTGGTCGACATCACATTACAGGACATCTAAAGAGTCCAAAGCTCTCCGTCAGACGCTGTCAGACAGAGAACTTAGTACTGGCACAACTCCTGGTGGCAGCGAATCCTCGAAACATCCATTAACCATCCCGTTCATCTCCAACGATGTGCCCAGCATTTTTGGTGATCATTTTTTGTTGCCAGATAGGTCCGGAGTCCAGACCAGTTGTTGTAAGAAAAGACGGGGTCCCTCTACTGGGTCCCAGTGGTCTTTCCCTACCAAAAAGTGGAAACCAAAATTCACTGACTTAACGTCATCCCAAGTTCGGGATGCACCCTTCAAGATGAATCTCTTTTGCAGAGTAAATCGAAGAAATCATAGGAATTGAGGTCTTTGCTGCCACGAGAGTCCGGAAATTGGGCAATATTTCGCTGCCGGCGTGCCGCAGGCGTCTGGATATGTCTGGCCGCTGCTCCGTCCCGGGTCCCGCGCGGACAAAGATCGAGAGCTGTGTTGCGAATGAAAGTCACAGCCTGGATGATTTGATATGGGGATGGGTCAGAACCTATTCAAGGTGGTGCCCCAGTTCGTTAGCTAAATTGGTTTATAACTCCAATAACTTGGGATTATGGTAGATATACGGACCTATACTTAATAGGGGTTGTAAACCAACTTAGAACTGGGGGGCACCACCTTGTTGTTACCATATGTTGAGGAATAAACATCCATTAACCAACTATTTTAGGGTACCTAGGGTACCAGGGTTTTGACCCAAAACCATGTGATTATATAGTTCAATTGGGGGTCCCAGTAAATAGTTTGACGGCACTCACTTCGGGAGGCACCGTAAACACCCAATTGGTCAGGTTTTGTCCAGTTTTGAAGCGAACAACTCGATTTTTCTGGCATCTCGATGGCGTTTCCTACACATTTCTGGGAAGAAAGGATGTTTCATTATAGGGTTTATCACCATTAAAAAACGCACTCCACCACCACCACCACCACCACCACCGGCATGAACATGAGCGTGAGCGTGAGCGTGAGCATGATCATCATCATCATCATCATCATCATCATCATCATCATCATTGGCATCATTGGCAGCATCGTCATCATCCTCAGCATCGATATTGTGTTCATCATCGTCGTTATGAGTCATCATCACCACCATCACCACCACCGTCGCGACACTAGCAATAATCGTCCCAAAATTCATTGTGATTGTATCTGATTACTGTACCACTATCCTCAGGAATCATAAGAAAAATCAACATATCACTGTCAACGCGAAGGAAAACATTATGAAATTCACCTTCGTCCTTGTATCACTGTAAGAATCATAAACCCATTGTCTTTGTTCAAAGAAGATAAAAGAAGCAAAGTAGTTTGGTTGTTGTGGTCGGCGTTGTGGTCGTCATTGTCATCATTGTCATCTGGTCCACAATCATCATCTGAAGCAGAATCATCTTCGTTTTGGTTCTAGTCCTGATGATTATCCTTTTTTCCCGACTCATCATTTCCACAATCATCGGACCAACATCTGCGCCCATCACTTTGGTCGTTATCCTTTGTATTGTCAGTTTGTCAGCACCATTACTGCCGCGTTTCTCACTTTCTGACTTAGTATTTGCATGATTTGATACACACTGTCCTATAGCCTGATGTAACATGTTTTCCAAACTTTGAACTTGAGTGTGGTCCAGTAATGGATCTGTTGTCGGCACCTCCCAGGTCATGTTTTTGAATGTGGAGCAGCCAGCTCGCGATGCAGGGTGTCAAATACAGAAGCACTCCGACGATCAAAATGGGCAAATTGTTTCCAAAACTTCCGTTTTGGGCAGAGTCAAAGCATTCCCAAAGCTATTCCAGCGGCAAATGAGAAGACATCTGAATCTGAGTCATATGTTCGATGTTTTTCTCGTGTTTTTTTTCCCTGGCCAAAATATGGAAGCCGGAGCACAATGCAATCTTTTTCGAAAGCATCATGTTTCTAATCGCTATAACTCAAGTTGATGATGGACATCAATCGCACAACCCGACAACCGTATGTGTCGGTGAAACTGAAACGGAAAATAGTGGGCCACCTCGACAGAAAATGGAAATATCTTAGACGATTTCTGTAGCTGTCTGGAAATTGGATAGGCTGGCATACCCCAAAAAGTTGGAATTGTAATTTGGAAAACTCAAATTTGCGAGTTCCATATGTTCAAACCGTGGCAAAACCATTTTTTGATGGCAAATCTCGCCACCGCTCGCACCCATGCCAGCTATCAGATGCCATCCTTGGTCCATGCTGATCCGGCTGATAACCGCAACTGGCGGTAGCTGGCTAGGCATCTGCACCAAAAAACATCGATTACTTTCGAGTGATCCTGACTGAATCTGACACATAGTCTGACAAGTCTTCTGGCATCTGACATATACTCTGGCGTTCTGACAGCTTAGCTGGCATTCTATCTGACAGTCGGTATTTGTTGAGCATCCCATCTGACATTGGCATTCTGAACCTGGTCTGTTTCACATGAAATCAATCTGACATGAATCCAACCTCATCTACCCGCAAAAATTCAGACACAGTCGGTGCCACAGAGAGCCCGGGCCGGCGAAAACCTAGAGACCCCCGGTTAAGTGATCACACTCCACTTCACCAAGGTTTCCTGGATCTGCCATGATCTACCTCTTTTATTATTTTATTTGGACATATTTGGACTGAGATTCCAGTAGCACAATATGAATCAATATGACAATATGTAAGCCCCATTCTCAATCCAAAATCAGCAATCATGGGCGCGGAGGCGCTGAACAAAAGGATGATCATGGCAAACATCGTCATCATCAAGAAATACCTTTTCGGGATGGTAGTCCCTTTTATTCAAAACCCTTGGAACTATCACTCATATTCATTGACCATAGTTGACCATAGTAAGTAATCTCTAAAGAATCCTCACTTTGCTCGTGCGATGATCTATGAGATCGGGGATGGGCGTGTCTGCAGATGGGGGGTTGAATCTAGTTTCAATGCCCCCAATTTGATAAGCTATGGGATTTAGGATGATTTAGGGACACTCATGGTTTTCAGACCTTGAAATCAACGATCTGATGACGCAAAATCTCTTCGGTCGGTTTTAGCACTGCCGAGTTCAAAGAATCAACCCATTTCTGGCTAGAGATTCCCATGGTGGATAATTAACGGATAACCATAGTCTCCATAAAAACCAGCAAGTATATGTACCCCTACATACCCTCTGGTAAACTAACATAGCTATTGAAAACAACCATTTATAGTGGATTTACCAATTGAAAATGGTGATTTTCCATAGTTACGAGTTACGTTAGTTTACCAGAGGGTAACCATCAAGAAAACCCGGTTTCTGGGCCCTGCTGAAACCAAGCGACTCGATGTATCAACTTCACCTTAGCCAACAACGCGTTCACCCCATGATCCACGTCATGCTATATAGGGCCTGCGAACGGGGCACTCGCAGATGATCAGTTGACAAATGTCACTTGGCTCATGGAAAATCATTTCATGTTCATCCAATTCATCATCCCCCAGATTTCCCCAGTCCCCCAGTATTAATACCCCTTTTTTTATTGTGTGCTATGGGTTTGGGGAGTATGTATCGGGAAACTTCGCAGCTGATATCCACTTACTCAGTTGCCTAACAGTATCAACCAGGCATCTATATTATATATCCAATATGTATATATATATGGGGGTTGTCCAAAATACCTTTTCCCGGACAGCCCTCAATCGCTCAGCCAATCGCGTAGCAACCGCGGTACCACAGTGAGCAATCGCGGAAGGGTTTGTTCTTCGTTGATCAGATCATATACATAAAATATAAGTTATGTATTATATAATGAGGATCCATGCGTGAACGCATTCGATTTCAAATTTGGGAACAAAATAGGCTCGCGCGGTCCGGAAACGGTCCGGAAAACTCACAGTAGTACCAGCAGCAGTAGTACTAGTAGTACTAGTAGTACTAGTAGTACTAGTAGTACTAGTAGTACTAGTCGTAGTAGTAGTAGTAGTAGTAGTAGTAGTAGTAGTAGTAGTAGTAGTAGTAGTAGTAGGAGGGGTAAGAGTAGGAGTAGGAGTAGGAGTAGGAATAGGAGAAGGAGTTCTAGTAGCAGGGCAAGGGAAGAAAGGGAGAGGGAGGGAAAGAGAGAAAGAGAGAGAGAGAGGGAGGGAGGGGGAAACAGATGGTTGCGTTTGACCGGTTTCTGACGGGTTTCTGACTGGTTTCTGACTGGTTTCTGACTCGTTTCTGACCCTTCAGCGGAACTCGTGTCAATTGGATTTAAAAGCAAGAGCAGAAATTCCTAGGTGTACTAGTGGTAGTGGTGGTGCAGTAGCAGCGGGTGTGGTGGTAGTACTAAGAGTAGTAGCAAATCTAGTAGTGGGAGTAAGGATCCATGCGTGAACGCATTCGATTTCAAATTTGGAAGCAAAATAAGCTTGCGCGGTCCGGAAACGGTCCGGAAAACTCACAGTAGTACCAGCAGGACTAGCAGTAGCAGTAGCACTAGCAGTAGTGGTAGTGGAAATTGCAATAGGAGTAGGCGTAGGAGTTCTGATGGGAGGGTGAGGGAATAGGCAAGGGAGAGAGAGAGAGAGAGAGATTGCGTTTGGCCGGTTTCTGACGGGTTTCTGACTGGTTTCTGACTGGTTTCTGACTCGTTTCTGACTCGTTTCTGACCCTTCACACGAGTGCAATTGGATTTAAAAGCAAGAGCAGAAATTCCTAGGTGTACTAGTGGTAGTGGTGGTAGTGGTGGTGCAGGGTGGTGCAGTAGCAGCGGGTGTGGTGGTAGTGCTGGGGGTAGTAGCAAATCTAGTAATGAGAGTAAGGATCCATGCGTGAACGCATTCGATTTCAAATTTGGGAGCAAAATAAGCTTGTGCGGTCCGGAAACGGTCCGGAAAACTCACAGCGCACTAGCAGTAGCAGTAGCACTAGCAGTAGTGGTAGTGGAAATTGGAATAGGAGTAGGCGTAGGAGTTCTGGTAGGAGGGTGAGGGAATAGGCAAGGGAGAGAGAGAGAGAGAGGTTGCGTTTGGCCGGTTTCTGACTGGTTTCTGACTATTTCTGACCCTTCCGTGGAACTTCTGTCAAGTGGAGAAAAGCAAAGGCAAAAATTCCTCGGTGTAGTAGTGGTAGCGGCGTTGCAGTGGTAGCGGCGCTAGTGGTAATACTGAGAGTAGTAGCAACACTAGTAGAAGGATCCGCCCATGAACGCATTCGTTTTCATATTTGAGAAGAAAAGAAAATTGCGCGGTCCGGAAACGGTCCGGAAAACTCACAGTAATACCAGTAGTAGGAGTAGGAGTAGGAGTAGAAGTAGGAGTAGGAGTAGGAGTAGGAGTAGTAGTAGAGAGTAGTAGTAGTAGCAGTAGTAGCAGTAGTAGTAGCAGTAGTAGTAGTAGCAGTAGTAG